GGTGTTCTGCCGCTGTGAGGAGCTGCTACTCTGGCCTCAGGAGGGGCTCATCTCCAAGATGGTACGACTCCCCAAACCAGGGGGAGGGGAACGCTTCATCGCGCTTCTCAGCGCTCCCATTCGGGTCCGGGGTCGAGCGCGTCCTCCGATTTCGGCAGATTGGGAGCGGAACAGTGCCAGCGAGGAGTTCAGGGGCCATATCGGAGGGCGGTCCTCCACTGATGCAGCTTTCGGCGCTTGTGGAGGAGACGACGCTTCTGACTGGCAAGCAAGCGCTGGTAGTCCTCCCCGACGCGCTCAAGTGCTACGAGATGGTCACGCATTCAGCCATCCTGTGCGAGCGCAGGGCGAACGAGATCCCCATGCGTTCGGCATGCATGCTGGTTTCGCTTTACGAGCAGGTGCGCTCCACATTCGCATGCAATTCTTTCTCTCGGGCCCAGCTGGTGTGCCAAGGTATACCGGCAGGATGCACGCATGCCACCGCGATGCTGATGGCCCCCCTCACGCGCAGCATCAAGTTGACCACCGCTGTTGCGAAGGAGGTACAGCCGCGAGACCTAGTCGACGACGTGACTTTGAGCTGGACGGGCCTGGGCCCCCGCGGCTCTCGGTTTGTGGCTACGGCGTGCCAGGTTTTTTGCGAGTCAGTGCGCGTCCTGGGCCCCATTTGCAACTCGACAAGTCAGGCCACTTAGCGTTGACACGTCAAGCGGCTGATCATGCCAAGTCGTTCGCCAGGATGCCCAAGATTGCTGGCAGGCGTCGCGTGTGGCAGCTTGGCCACGACCTTGGAGCTGCAGCAGCCGCGCGCGGGGTGCAGAAGGACCGCCTGAAGAAGACGCACGGCAGGAATGCCAGAATCCGCGCCCTTCAGCGGGGAGCTGGACGCGCCAAGGCAGCCAGAATTTGGACCACAGGCGTGCTCCCCCCGGTCGGCCACGGCGCAGCGGTCAGTGGTATCAATGACCGCGAGCTGAAGCAGATGAGGAGCGTTGCTGGGGGTTGCTGTGGCTTTCAGGCTCAGGCTCGCTCACCCTTTACCTCGCTGTGCAGCAGCAGCGCACCTATGACCCGATCTATCATGCCACATGGAGCATCCTGCAGCTGCACTCTGCCCGGGTATGGGAGCCTCGCGGAACGCCATCGCACCCTCAGAAGGCCTGGATGGCGCTGAGAGACCAGATCAGGGATGCCTCTCAGTTTACCTGGGATAGCGCCAGAGGCCCGCTCTCAGCACTCTGGCTCACGCTGAAGCGGGTGTGCTGGGACATGGCGTCGTCCACGGTGGTCGTCGACGACCTCGGTGCAGCGTATGACTTGCTCAGGGTGTCCCCATAGCGAGTTGAAGTACCGCGTGTTTGCCAGCCTGGAGAGATGGCAAAGTCACAGGCTTTTGGACCACCTGCGTGGAGCTCCGCAGCGGGAAGAAGGAGGTGGCCGTCAGCATATCTGGATGCGTGCCTTGAGGAAAGGTCATCTGCAACCGTTGCCCAATGTTCTGGCCAAGTTACAGTCCAACGGTATGTGGTCGTCTGAGAGACGGCGTCAAGCTGGCTACTCGGACAGCGCGAACTGCGAGTTCTGTGGCCACGAGCCCTCGGACCTAGAGTACGAGATCTTCTACTGTTCGATCCAAGAGCCGCACGAAGACGAGGAGGAGCACCCCTACCCCGACGACGTCTTGCAGGCCAGGAAGGATATCTGGAGCCAGGGGCAAACAGGAGTTGGCCTGGAGTGGGACTTTACTCCCGTCAACATGCTCTACGCCGTTCCTCTGAGGCCAGTGTTCAGGCCCCCTGAGCCTTGCGCGCTGCCCGTCGAAGAATGGGGTGTAGTGACGGTCCCGTGGCCAGGAAAAGTTTATGGTGGTGGCTCTTGTTTTGACAGTTATTTCCTGAGTCCAGGAGATGCGGATGGGCCGTGGTGGCCCTCGCGCCCAGCCTCGCCCCTGTCAAAGCGGTTTTTGGTGGCCTTGGCGGCCCTATTGAGACTGTGCCCCGCGCAGAAAGATTTGCTGCGCTGCGCGGGCTGGAAGTTGCTGCCGGGCCGACCGAGTTTGTCGCGGATCATGATAGTCTCGCCCGTGAAGGGGCTGCGTGGGATGGCAATCATGCTAGACCTCTGGCCCCACACTCTAGCGTCTGGCGCAATATTCATCAGTTGTGCAGTTCTGACGAACGCCGACTTGTTTTTCCTGGCCCATCGTTCTTTCGACCAAGGGCTCTCTGCGCGCATCGATTCGGGCGAGGCGCTAGATAACTTTTTCGGCACCATGTGGGCCGACTGTTTCCGAAGACGGCCGCGCTCGAGATGTCGGGCTCGTCTTCGATCGCCAAGGATTTCAAGTTTCAGTTGGGGCAAGTGCTGAGCCGCATGAGGTGTCTTGCGTTTGCAGCGGGGAGGGTGGCACATATGGCCGCGCCTACTGTCAAGAAGACCCTTGCGCCGGCTCCCAGAGCTCGGCGCGCGAGGAAACCAACCACGCATGTTTTTGTCGGCTTCCCTGAGGGAGCTTTCGTTTGCAAGATTTGTTGAAGGCAGGCCACCACATTCTCCTCTCTCAAGTCTCTGTCTGCCCGTCTCTGCGATCCCCAAACCCCAGGGCCTGGCCACCTTGTGCAAGTGTCAGAGCGCGCGCCTATTTGCACGCGCTGTGGAGCGCGCGCGGTGCGCCCGCAGCGACTCTCGGTCTGCCTGGCGCGAGCTTGCAAGGGGGGCGGGGCTGGTGCGTCGGGGGGTCGGGCGGGGCGGGATCGGCTGCAGAGGTTTCTCGAGAAGGCCCAGAAGGGCCGTCATCCCAAGACGGGGGAGGTCCTAGGCGCATTGTTGCTGGCCGACGTGCCAGCGGATTTTTCTCGTGAGTCCGTGGGCCCCCAGCAGGTGCCTCCGCGCGCGGGGGCCGCGGGTCCCGGGGCCGAGGTCGTTGGCCCGCGCGGCGGGGCGTTGCTCGAAGATGCCCCAGTTTCGGACTCGCGGCCCGCGTCGGCCGCTTGAGCACCCGCGCACGGCGCTGGCACCTGGCCACGCCGCCGGGCGACCCCAGCCATGCTGGGTCGCCCCATTTTGTCTCGAGACGGCTTCGTGGTTCACCTGGCCGCTCTCTGCGCTGCTCCACTGCTCCTCCCTCCCCGCCTCTCTCCCTAGGATCCCCATCGCCGCCCTCTCCCCTCCCTTCCCTGCCCCCTCGCGCGAGCTATACAGGTGTTGATGCTAGACAGTGGCGTGCTCTCCTGCCTCTTCCCAACCCTCTGACCGCGTCGGGAGGGGGCCCATTTGGCCTGTCGCGCGCTTGCGAGGAACAACACCTTCTACTTCAACATTGGTGGCGGAGCTTCAGTGAAGCTGCTCCGACCACGTGTCTACGGACTATTGCGCCCGGAAATCAGGGCAGCAAGCCCACGGCAGTGTTGTGCGGAGCGTCGGTTGTTTAGGCACTTTCGCGTCGATGACGCGGCTGCGCGTGGAAATCAGGGCAGCAGACACACGGCGGTGCCATGCAGAGCGTCGGTGACTCTTCACAGTGCGGAGCGCCAGTGCGCGGTCACAATTTGCGCGGTAGCGAGTTTTGCAGCCACGATGTCTAGTCCGTGCGCAGGTACGTGTTTTCCCGCGGAGCGTGACATAGACGCTTGGGCGGGAGTAGCCAAGGCGATGGCGCGGGGCGCCGAGGAACGGAGTTCCCGCGACGTCGCCATCCAGTACGATGGCGATGCGGTGCTGGCACAGGATGATGAAGACGCCTGCATGGAGTCCGCTCTGAGCGGCGGGCAAGGAGAAGGCGGGCCCCCACAGGGAACGCCCAAGTGGCGACTGGCGGCCTCAGTCGCGCGAGCAACAGCTTCGCGCATCCATGTGAGCGGCCGGTGATTTGGTCGTGCGAGCAGAAGCTTCGCAAATCCTCCATACGTTTCACAGTCCCTGTATCTGTAAATGTGGGAGCCGCCGCACAGCGCCCAGGCCACAGAGGGGGGTTCGAGGCAGAGAAAAAGGCGAGAGTCAGTGTTGATGATAGACAGTGGCATGCTCTCCTGCCTCTCCTCCGCCGCTGTTTTGGTCCCTACAGGGGCCTCTGACCGCGTCGGGAGGGGGCCCATTTGGCTTTTCGCGCGCTTATGAGGAACAAGAGCTTCTATTTCAACGCAAGGATTCGGATAATAAACATCTGCGTCGCCATGAGTTTTCGGAAGTCCGCGCGGGTTCCTTGTGTCGGCGCCGGGCCTTTGGCGCCGCCGATGGCGCGCCCCGCGCGCCAAGGAAAAAGGGGTCCAGCGCCACCTCTGTTGCGCCACTCGTGGCGGGCGCAACCTATGGCGAAACGCATGGATCGCGCAGCATGTGAACATGTGAGGCGTTCCAGAAAAATGCTGCTTCTTCTTCTTCTTCGAGGAACGAACAAATGGGTATCTCTTCCTCGGCAGACGGCGCGGAAGTAAGACGAGGGTGCCTCCGCTGGCGAGGGCCGGCGGGCGGAGGAGGACTGACAACGCTTTTTGGCTTCAGGATCTCAGAAGACGGCCATGCAGCGCAACCCACGGACCGCGCACTTTCTGGCACTTCCCACTGGCCTCCACGCCCGACTGGCGTTCGCCATTTGGGCTGGCGGCGGGGCCCCAATCGGCGGACGGGCGGGGCCCGAGCGTCTCGGCTCTTGACGGCTCCGCTCCGGGTAAGCCACAGGCCTGTGGAGGCCCATCGTCCAGGAAAGGGTGACCGTCGTGGTTTTTCCAGGTCCAGGCAGGTCTGGGGAGAAGGAGGGGCGTCCCGACCATTTGTTCGAGCTGCACCCGCCCATGGCCACGAGGAGTTCCCAGGAGGCCCCGGATGTCCCCAGAGCGCGCAGGATCCTCAAATCCCGATCCTTGAACCTCGAGCCTCGGCGACGACGACGACGACAAAGACGACGAAGGCGCCGCCGCGGGTGCCTTCGAAGGCCTCCGAGGTTTCCGAGGGCCTCCGAAAACCCCCGCGGGCCGCGGAGGGCCGCCGCGGGCCTCCAGGCGGTCGTCCGGTGGACGACATCCCGATTGAGCTGCCCCCGGAGCCCGCCAGCAAGGGCGCCTCGTCCTCGCGCGCACCCCAGCTTCTCGCGCCCATGGCGCTGCGATCGGCCAGACGACGTCGACGCTGACGAGGTCGACGCCGACGGCGATGAGGTCGACGCCGACGTGGCCGACGCCGACGAGGACGACGCCGACGAGGAAACCAGCGGCAACGAGGGCGCAAGCGACGCTGCCGACGACGACGACGCCGAGGACGACGACGCCGCCGACGACGACGCCAGCAGCGTCGACAACGCTGATGGCGGTAGCGGTGACGACGACGAACAGAGGTAGAGAATGATGTGGATCAACAGGAACATGAGGATAATGAAAGGGGTTATGGAGAGAAGGATCTTGAGGAAGAGGAGATGGACTGCGAGAAGCAGATGGATGAAGTGCCAGCGGGCCAGGAATTTGAGCCGACACGCTGAGCACATTGCAGGTTCACGGCATCAGCGCCCCGAGCTTGTTCCAGCCTCCCGTCCCAAGAGGCAGCGCGACACGCTGTCGGCTTGCAGGGTACGCCGCCGCGACACGCTGACCTTCGGCGTAGGGGCCGCTGGAATGCCGGAGAGCGACGCCCCCGAAGGGAGAGGTTGCGGGATATATGTGAGGGAGGGGAGAGGAGGATGAGAGGAGGAGGAGGAGGAGGAGGAGGAAAAGGAGGAGGAGGAGGAGGATCGCGAGGAGGAGGATCGCGAGGAGGAGGTTGAGGAGGAATCGGAGGATGATGATGCTGATGATGATGTTTGTGACGATGCTGATGAGGGGGAGGGGGAGGAGGAGGAGGAGGAGGAAGAGGAGGAGGAGGAGGACGAGGAGGAGGAGGAGGAAGAAGAAGAGGAAGAGGAGGAGGCGGAGGAGGAGGAGGAGGAGTTTGAGGAGGAGGTTGAGGAGGAGGAGGAGGAGGAGGAGGAGGAGGAGGTTGAGGGGGAGGAGGAGACCGAGCCCGCCGAACCGAGGCGCACGCCCGCGGAGAAGCCGGCCGTTCCGAGCAAGCCCAAGGGCGTCATGCCCCGCCCCTTCTCCTCGAACCCCTTCCACCGCCGGAAGGCGTCGCCCCCGAAGAAGAAGGAGGTCGCGGGAGATGGGGCGGGGAGGATCGCCATAAGGGAAAAACGGGTCCTGAGGGAAGCGAGTCCCGAGGTTTTCCACTGTTTTTGGGCACTCGCGGCCATCCACGGGCCCAGGCACCGTCAGAAAACGACCCAGGATAAAGAACTAGTCCTGGGGGAAGGCACCAGGGCCCAGAGCAGTCTGGAAGGAGGGAGAGGAGGTGGACGGCGGCAGCGGCGGCGGCGGCGACATGCCCTGGCTCTTCGCCTCGAGCCCGCTTGCGCCGCAGGAGGGCGCCCCCGAAGTGGGATGTCGCGAGAGATTGGAAGGACAGGGGATTTGGTGTTGCCGACGGCTGGGATGTCATTGATGACAATGGCTCCCCAACATTAAACTTGCCCTATATCATGATGCGCACTGAGATAGTGGGGGGTGGGGGGGGGGGGGCTTCGCAGGTTGGACTGGGAGGAGGCGGCGGATGAGCAGGAGGATGCTGAGCCAGCCGCAAGTGTCACGGGAAGAAGCCATGTCGTACATCGTCTGCAGGTTGCGCTGAGCCAGCCTGCCGGCCAGTGCCCGTGGTGACCAAGCTGCGGCCGATCCCTGAGAGAGAGCAGGCGGAACAATTGTGAGAAAGGAGGAGGCGGAGCAGCAGCAGGCCCTCCGCGGCCCGCGGCGCCCGCCATCGTGCGCGGTCGGGCTCCTTCCCGAACCGCTCGCTTGACTTGCCGCAGCGCTGCGAGAGAGAGAGAGAGAGAGAGAGAGCAGCAGCAGGAGGAGCAGGACAGGGCATGCCCCCTCTGCTGGGCAGCCGTCGGCGGGGCGGCCTCGCCTCCCCGGACCCCGGGGGCCTGCCCCGCGGAAGCTCCTGGCCGGGGCGCGCCCCCGGCGGGAGGTGTCCGCGGGCCGCTGCGGGCGGCGTCAGCGTGCCAGCGTGCCCTTCTCTTCGCACCGAGGACGCGGCCACAGAGCCCCGCTGCGAATTCCAGGCGAAGCATTCGCAAGCATGCGAGGCCGGTGTCCGAACGGAGACGCACAGCAGGCCATAGATCAGCCAGCGTGGCCTCAGCACGTAGCGGAGTGCCCCAAGGGTCACGCAGATGTGGGTGCTGCAGGGCTTTTGGACTCGCAGGGTCCTCGACTTGGCATCGCTCAGACGTGTGCATTCTTCTCTGCGAGGCCAGCGCCAGGAAATCTGGACCATCTCGAAGAGTCTTCGATCATGTTGAGGAACAAGACGCGCGTGGAACCGAACACATGCACGGAGAATGGGCGCCCGAACGATGACAAGTCGAGCCCGCTCCACGCTGGAGGGCGTCCGCCCCTGGAGGACGCGGAGTCCGAGGAGATACCACGGGGCCCGCCCGGAGAGCCCTCGGGCGCGGGCGTCATGGATGAACGAGCAAACAATTGAATAGACAGATTTTTGGAGCTCCGCGCGCGTCTCTCGTGTTGGCGCAAGTTCCCCTTGGCGGTGGGGGTCGCGGTAGGCGCCCGAAGGCTGCCCCGATCCGGGGGCCCTGCAGGGCCCCTCGCGGACCGACGTCTGGCTCGAGGGGCTGCCGCAGGTGGATGGCCTTGAGGGTCTCCGGCCGTGTGTTCTGTCCACGTCGCTGCGCCCCGTCTCGGCGCCGAGTCTCTGGGCAACGGGGAGGGCGAGGACGGCGAGGAGGTCGAGTGCGGCGGCGATAGCGGAAGCGACGGCGGTGGCGGCCGCAGTGGTGGTGGGGATGGCGGCAACCACGACGACGACGAGGCTGGGGATCCAAAGAGGGGCCCTAGTTACATTTGCTCTGGGCGTGGCCCTTCCCAAGACATCTGCTCGCACCTCTGGTGTGATCCTCGCCGCGCCAAGCTCAGAGCGCGCGAGCACCTCCGGCGGCAGTCGATCTCGGATCAAGGTTTTGTCTCTGTCGGCATCATGTCGCGCTCATCGCCGCACCCTGCTCAGGGTGCGCGAGCACCTATACTGCGGCAGCCGAACATGGATCGAACTTCTTCCCCTGTCGGTAGCAGTCGCGGGGGGGGGGCGGGGACGGATATGTTGGCATTGCGTCGCGCCGCACGCGAGGGCATGACCGTGCAACTGGCCAGGCAAAGCGTTCCTTGCCGACCAGAAGCGCCCACACCCCGATCGGGCGTGCAGCCAGCGCGGCCCCGCTGCAGGGGCGCAGGACATTGCCGCTCCAGCATGGCTCGAAGGGCTGGACGAATTCGCACGCGTTGGACGAAGTTCTGCGGCAGTGCGCGAACCCATCCTTCCGTCGACACAATGCCCACGTGCCAGCGGAGAGCCTCGCAGCGACCTTTTCCGAACTGCGTGAGAAGTGCGAGGAGGAGGGGAGGATCAGAAGGTGAGGGGAGAGTAGGAGATGCAGGAGCAGGAGGAGGGGAAGGATGAGGCGGAAAGGGACGAGGGAAAAGAGGGGAAGGAGAAGGAAGGTGAAGAGGAGAGAAGCAGGAGCAGCAGGAGGACGGGGAGCAGGAGGATGAGGGAGGGCTTTGTCCCCCTTCTCCCTCGTTCACCTTCTCCCCCCCTCCCCCTGTCGGCGTGGCAGAGCGGGTGGCGGGCGGCGACGGGCCTGTGCCCCTCCCCCCCCTCGGCGGCCGGGAGGTCCAACGCCGGGCGCCTCTGCTCGGGCCAGTGCGCGCTTGGCCATCGCGGGCCACCGGCGGCAATCGGCGGCCTCGGGCGGCCTAGGGCGGCCTTGCCCTCGGTGGCGCCGGGTGCGCGCCGGGCCGCTGGGAGCCCTCGGCGGCCGGGAGGTCGAGCCCCTGGAGCCCGTGCCGGTGCCCGTGGCCGTCGAGGCGGCGGTTTCCCGCCCGATCCTGGGCGACTACGCGCCGGCTGCGCCGGCGCGCGGGGGGGCCGCCTTCGATGGGGGGGGGGGCGCCGCTGACCGCCGCCGTTCTCGCCGTGCGGCGGCCGCGGCGGCCGCCGCGGCGACGGCGTCTTGGCGAGGGCGGCCGACCGACGGCGGCGACGGCGGACGAGCGTGGACCCACGGCGACAGACGACGGGTTTCGACGGCGGCTAACGACGGCGAGGGCTACGACGTCCGATGACGACGACGTACACGCCGGCGACGAGAGAGAGAGTAGCAAATCGATCACTACGATCACGGCGATGGCCATGACGAAGACCGACGACCGTCGTCGACGACAACAAGTCGCGCACGTGGGGATGGGGCAGGCCGAGTTGCCGAACGGCATGCCGCAAGTCTTGCCCGAGGCGATGGACGTGTGGGCGCAGCAGATGGCAGGCTCCTGGGAGCAGCAGGCGCCACCACTCGTCGTCGTCGGTCGGTCGGTCATCGGTGCCATCGTTATCGGTCGCCGTCAAGCGTCGTCGTCGTCGTCGTAATTAATCTCGGTTGTCGTCCTCATCCTCGCCGTTGGCACCACGACCGTGTGGCACGCAAGGGACCGGAACCACGCAGGCCTCGAGAGGGTAATTAGGCTTACGCAGCTCTGTGTGGGGCCTCCCGTCGAGGAGAGCTCACGTAGTCCGGATCTGAATCAGATCGTCCCAAAGACGTTGCACAAACAACATTTTGGGTTGAGCATGGGCTTTGGTTTTCGGGCCGCTCCTTGGACCTACGTAAGCGAATATATTCGTGGCCGAGGCTCGCCGTGGCTCGAATAGCTCTTTCGTTCTTTGTTGGGCGTTCCCCATGGTAGCGCGATGACTGTAGGGTTCCCCCCATAAGTAAAACCGTTACACCTGAGGAAACCCCAGACATTGGATGATCTGAAAATTAGTCATATGGATCCTGAAATCGATTGTGAGATCGATAATGAGATCGATCGTGGAATCGATAGAGGACGATTGTAAGGTCGATTGTGAGACCGAGAGTGAAATCGATTCAATGAGATCGATAGGGAGTTCGATCGCGAGATCGCTCGTGCGATCTCTAGTGAGATCGCTTGCTAGATCGATTGTGAGATCGATGGTGAGATCGATAGAGAGGTGGGAAATGAGATCGATGCTGAGACCGATCGATAAGAAGATCGACCAGGAACCCGGGAACTTGGGAACCTCGCCGCCCACCGAAATCGGCCCGGGAACCGGGAACCCGGGAACCCGGGAACCCAGAAACCCGGGAACCCAGCGTGCGACCAAAATCGGCGGGAAATGTTCGCCAAATCCTTCAACCTCCGCTAGGACACTTTCAGTGCAAGCACTGATTGGGGAATGAGCTGGGAATGCCCCATGGGACGAGGACATGGCCTAAGGCGTCTCGCTTCTCCATGTCCGCGTCCATCCTTCTTCTATCAGTCCCTTCCCTCCTTCCACCTCGCTCTCCTCCTCTTAGCCTTCCTAGTAATTTTCAGGCCTCTGGTTTTGAGTTGTTGTTTTTGTCGGTCGCGCTGTTGGAAGTGGCGCAACGACAGAGAGCCAGCTTTTCCTCTGGATCTCTGGATCTACGGGGACCGCGTGGGGCCCTTCCCGCGGCCGGCCCCGCAGGCGGCGCGCCAGTCCGCGGACCCCGAGGCGAGGGGGGGGGGCGGGGGGGGGGAATGGCACAGTGCGGCGGGGTTTCGACGGCGCCTCGAGGCAAGGGGGCAGGAGAGGAGGAGGAGGAGAGGAGGAGGGAGGAGGAGGAGGAGGAGGAGGAGGAGGAAAAGGGGAGGAGGAGGAAGGAGGAGGAGGAGGAGGAGGAGGAGGGGGGAAGGGGGAGGAGGAGGAGAAGGAGGAGTAGAAAGAGGAGGAGTAGAAGGAGGAGGAGAGGAGAGAGGAGGAGGAGGAGAGGAGGAGGAGAGGAAGAGGAGGAGGAGGAGCAGAGGAGGAGGGGGAGGAGGAGGAGGAGGAGAGGAGGGGAGGAGGAGGAGGAGGAGGAGGGAAGGAGGAGGAGGAGAGGAGGAGGACGGAGGAGGAGGAGGAGGAGGAGGAGGGAGGAGGAGGAGGAGGAGGAGGAGGAGGAGGAGGAGAGGGAGGAGGAGGAGGAGGAAGCAGGAGGAGGAAGAGGAGAAGGAAGAGGCGGAGTCGGAAGAGGAGGAGAGAATGAATATGAGGGTGTGGGGGGATGACGAGGGTGAGGCAACTGGTGGCCGCGGAGCCTCCTGAAGGAGTTGGAGTTGGTAAAAGAGGAAGAGGAGGAAGATGGCGGAGGAGGACGGACGAGGTGGAGGGGGAGGAGGGAGGAGGGATATTGGAATGGAGTTGGAGAAGGCGGTGTAGGCGACGGAGGCGGAGTAGGAGGAGGAGGAGAGAAGGAGGTGTATTGGAGAGGAGGAGGAGGAGGACGAGGACAAGGGCGAGGAGGACGAAGACGAGGAGAAAGACCAGTGCAAACCGAATCTTCATCAACGATATTGCAGTAAACCTTCGCTCCAAGCTCCCTCCGCATAGGCCCCATACAAGGATTCGTTCTCACGGAGGGAAGTTCCCCGTTTGAAGACAGCCGTTCGAAAATCTGGACGTGCGCCAGAGCATCGTTCTTGGGATTACAACGCAGCGAATCACCTTTACTTGTGCGCGTGTGCGTGCTATGCTGATCTTGAACCGTGTCAGAACACCATTCATGGGACTCCAGCACCGCGGATCAACGTGACTGTTGCGCCCTGACATTCCGACATCGCGCCGCAACACCATGTCTTGTACGATAACCTGGAGGATCCTTGAAACTGCTGCAAGCTCTTAAGACGAATGCGCGCGGCGCTCAGGAGAGAGCAACATTTTGAGACGGAACCGCCCTCCATCCACGAGCCTACTGCAAACTTTAAGACGAATGCGCGCGGCGTTAAGGCGAGAGCCACATTTTGAAAACGGACCGCCATCCACCGTGACATCCTAGGAACTTTTAAGACGAATGCGCGCGGCGCCAAGGCCAGAGCCACACTTTGAAAATGGACCGCCTTCCATTTGTGAAACTCTACGCTTTGTTCAGGCGAATGTGCGCGACGCTGCGGCGACAGCCACATTTTGAAAGCGATCGGCCCTCCATCCGTGAACCCCCCTTGCGCACTTTTAAAACGAATACGCGCGTCGCTAAGATGAGAGCAACATTTTGAACACGGTCCGCCCTCCATCCGTGAAATGGTTGCAGACGCTTAAGACGAACGTGCGCGGCGCTCAGGCGAGAGCCGCATGTTGAAAGCGACCCGCCCTCCATCCGAAACATTGCTGCAAATTCTAAGCTTCAGGATCATAAGCGTTGGGGGGGTCTTAGGCGAGACGCCCGGCCCGCCCTTTCGACCAGCCTCGGGGTGCGACAGAGACGGGCCATTTAGAAGGAAGACGGATGGAGGAGGAGGAGGAGGAGGAGGAGGAGGAGGTGGAGGACGGGAGGACGGTAGGGCCGGGCGACGGGGTGCGGCGGCGTTTCATCGAAGTCGCCACGAAGGACAGGAGTCCTGGAGGAGAGGGGCTCTTTGGAGGTTTCCCTCTCTGGTCCTGGGGTGTGCGTTGGGATTGAGCGGTCCGAGTGCATTGGGATTGAGCGGTCCAACCCGCGCTACCCTACGCCCTTCCCTCCCTGGCGGCCTGCAGGGAGGGAAGGGCATGGGGCAGCGCGGGTTGGTGGGGGATCAAAGATCAGGAGGATCGAGGACCGCGTTTTATGGTCGTTTTGGGGCCTCTGGTGGGGTTGGGGGCGTATTGGGGCCTCTGGGCGTTCTGAGGCTTCAGGATCGAGAGGCTCAAGGCATCTCTGGGCGTTTGGGACTCTCAGAGCCTCCAGGGGCTTCTGGGGGACTCCAGGGAGGGACGGAAGGTGGGGCGACGGGTAGCGGCGGAGCTCCCTCGGGGGAATAAAGAGAGTCATCTTGGCATCCTATGTGGGGCTGGAGCAGGAGGGGTCGGGGGATGGCGCCGCATCGCCGATGCACCAGCGATGCGGTGGGCTGCTGGACCCGGTCTGGCCCATCCCACCGTCGCCGACGCATCGACGATGCATCGGCAATGCGGTCCCGATGTCCCGACTCCACCGGTGGCCCGATTGGGGAGGCCTCCAGCTGAGGATGTAAGACAGGGGGGGAGGAAGGGAAATTGGAGAGGGGGAATGGGCTGGAGGGAGGAGGGGCCTAAACAGAACAATGGAGGAGTAGGCTTAGGACGAGGATGATGGAGGGAGGAGGGAGGGGGGAGGGAGGAGGGGGGAGGGAGGAGGATGGAGGGAGGGAGGAGGGAGGAAGGAGGGAGGGAGGAGGGAGGATGAGGAGGGAGGCTGGAGGGAGGAGGTGCTGGGGTGGCAGAGGGTAAGGCGACGGAGGACGGGGCGACCGAGAGGAGGACGGACGACGCAAGGCCGTCTCCCCCACCTCCTTTCGCTCTATTCAATTCCTCCTCTCCTTCTCCTCCACCTCCTCCTCCTCCTCCTCCTCCTCCTCCTCCTCCTCCTCCTCCTCCTCCTCCTCCTCCTCCCTCTCTTCCCCCTGACCGAGCGTTTTTAGTCTAAGGCTTGAGGGGGCTCTCCTGTGCGCGCTTGCGACCTCCCGAGATCTCCAGGGACCCTGGGGGGCTTCGAGGGAGGAAGGTGTCTCGTGACGAGGATGGACGACGCAAGGCCTCATCCTTCCTCCTCCATCTTCCCGCCTCCTCCCCCTCCTCATCCTCCTTCTTCCTCCTCGCTCCTCCTGCCTTCTCCCTCATCGTCCTCCCTCTTCGGCGAGCGCTACCGCGCGACGGGTCTGGGATGAGGGTGATGGGGAGGAGGAGGAGGAGGAGGAGGAGGAGGAGGAGGAGGAGGAGGAGGAGGCGGAGGCGGAGGAGGAGGAGGAGGATGAGGAGGAGGAAGCGCGGGGGCGAGGGTAGGAGTAGTGGTGCGCGAGGGAGGGGAGGGAATGGCGGTAGGAATGGGTGCAGGGGTGAATGGTGAGGGTTGAGGGGTGCGGGAGCGTGTTAGGGGAGTAGGGGTGGGAGCGGAGACACGGGAGAGAGCGGGGGCAGGAGGGAGAAGAGGGGGAATGCATGGCAGGGTCTGGGCGGGAGAGGGGGGAAGAGCATGGGAGTGGAGAGATGGGAGAGGCGACAGGAGTGGGAGGGAGGGAGGTGGGGAGGGGAGTGGTGAGAGGTAGAGAGAGGGAGGGAGGGAGATCTTCAAATGCCTCCCGATCGTGGGCGCCTCAGCCAGCAGGCGGACGCGAGGTTCAGGATGATGGCCGCCAAGTTCCGCGCAGACGTGCAGCAGTGGAAGGAGGACCTGCGCCTGCTACCGCCGTTTCCTTCGCCTTGTCCTCTGCCGATTCCCCCCTGGGTCCCCCGCCAGCCGTTCCCCCCTCCTGGCCCCCTCCGGACTTCTACCTCCGCCACTGATGGGGAGCATCAGTATCATCGTCACCATCGTCATCATCATCACCATCATCATCAGCATCATCTTCATCATCATCATCAGCATCATCATCATCATCATTTGCATCATCATGTTCACGATCAGCATCGTCATCATCAGTATCAATATCAGCATCACCATTATCATCATCATCATCATCATCATCATCATCATCATCATCATCATCATCATCATCATCATCATTATCATTATCATTATCATCAGCATCATCATTAGCGTCGTCGTCATCGTCACCATCACTAGTTCGACTATCATCACCATCATCAGCATCATCAACGCCAGTATCTCCATCATCATCATCAGCATGATCATCATTAGCATCACCACCATCACCATCATCATGGTCACCATCACCATCATCGTCATCATCATCATTAACAGCATCAACACCAGTATCAGTATCAGCATCATCATCCTCATCATCATCCTCCTCATGATCAGCATCATCGATGTCGTCGGAATCGTCACCATCATTTTTTATCATCCATATCATCGGTATCATCATCAGCATTATCACCATCATCACCATCATCATCATCACCATCATCACCATCAGCATTACCAACATCATCCTCATCATCATCCTTCCCTCCTCTTCTCCTCCCCGTTCGCCCCTTCCTTCTCTTCCTCCTCCGCCTGATTGGCGGAGTGGCGGTGGGCATGGCCGACGGCCCGGCGCAGGGACGTTTGATGCCCGGCCGCCGCGAGCGGGAACGCTGGGAACAGGCTGAGCCACCTGGTGGCAGCGCTGGTCACGCAATGTGCGCCACCCACTCCTCCCCCTCCTCCCTCCTCCTCCTCCTCCTCCTCCTCCTCCTCCTCCTCCTCCTCTTCCTCCTCCTCCTCCTCCTCCTCCTCCTACGAACTGTCTCCAGAGCTACTTGGAGGCAAGATCTCAGGACCGAGGCGACGTTGAAGGCCACGACTGCTCTAGGCGCCTGGTTCCTCCACCTTTTCCCCTCGTTTCTCCCCCTCCTTGACCCGGCAGCCTTCGGAGCCCTGATCAGAGACACTGCATAGTGTTGTTGCCCTCTTGTGCCGCCAATCTCGCGCTGCCACGCTAGCCCAGCAGGCGACTTTGGCTGGCGACGGCCTGTCGGCTGATGCCGGTCGTCGTCTCCACCGCTCTCTGCAAAGGAAGGCCAAGCTGCAGCAGCTGCGAGGTAGCCCCTTGGTCCTGAGACGCTTGCGGGTAATAAACTGGGAACCGGTTTTGCAGGCCAGGCGCGTGGACCCCGACAGTCTGCGAGCCTATCTCGACAGCTCGGAATTCCACGTGGATGCATCTGACGTCGCTGGTCTTCCCGTCCCGTTTCGCGCTAGCCTAGGCAGGATCCTCGGGCGAGCTCGCGCCACCGCTCCAGGACCAGACGGGTTCACTTAGAAAGCGTTGGCTGCCCTCCTTGAGCAGCTAGACACATTGCGCGATCTCATCCATCATCTTTTCCGAGGGGACCCTGTTCCGAATTTTTTGAACGACTCAGTTTTTGCATTTCTTCCCAAGGACTCCCGCCCTGAAGATATGTTCGACTGTGTTCGCCAGGCCAGCAACGTAGGACACCTGTCGCTCCGACCTTCGGATTTTACGATCATTGCCAGCGCCGCCAACTTTATCTTACGAAATATCGTTGCCACACGCTCTCTTCAGAACCAGCACGGCTTCATCATAGTCCGGAATGTTGCTCGCAATGTTGTCTTCATGGACGCCAGTGCTCGCACCCATTGTGGTTGTTACAGGTTTTGCGTAGCCATGACGGCCCTCAGGAATGTCTCAATCTCTTCCACTACCTCTACTTTTGTCCCCGAGCCTACGGCAGAATCAATGATGAGTTCCGCTTCATGTTTTATCTATGTACTGGGGTCCTTCATGGGTGCCCCCTTTCGTGGTCTGTGTGGGCGTTGATGTTCGACCCTGTGGTCAGGCTGCTTTCTGAGTCCGTCGAGAATCCACCCCAAGGAGACACCCTAGGAGATGTAGGCGGGTGCGCCGATGACGTTGGCACTGTCCTCCCTCAGCTTCGCACGCTTGCTTCCGTCATGCCTCATTTTGAGCAGATCCGCGAGCAAGCCCTGTTCAGGCTGCAGGGAAGCAAGTGTTGCATAGTGCCACTTGAGGCTGAGTGCGCAACCGCCTGGCTGCTCGCATCAGCTCTTGGCTTGACGCTCGTCTCCCGGCGTGTCAGCAATTTGATATCCAAGGGGCCACCCCATATCTTGGCGTGCAAATCGGCCCCGCCTCCGATCTCGAACCCAAGTGGTGCCAGGCAGGTGCGAATTTGTGGCAGCGTAGCACGGAACTCCCTTCCTCCCGTGCTGTTCCTCAGCTTCACGCAGTCCACTATAACACGCACGCTCTCAGCACCCCAGGTGACCTGGCACAGTTGTCTCCCATGTCGCCGACAATGTCGCCAGAAGTGGTCGCGAGAGAGGCGCTGGCTCTCCACAAGCTGCTTCGCATCCACGACGTGCGCTCGCTTGGCCAGTGGCTCGGAACAGCCCCGACGTCGGTGCTAGCACTTAGCGTTGCCTCCGCCTGGAGGACGAGTGCCCGCACACTCGTTGACTGTGCGCCAGCGTTCGAAGCGCTCCAGCAGGCTGCAGCACGTGCCTGCGGCACGCCCAAGCTTTCTGACCTCGGTGGGCAAGTTTCCAGTGGTTTCTTTGCGCCGTGCTGGAGCCGTCCCACAGCTATCATCAATATGTTCCGCTCTTTCTTGGTCGCTATTACCTCAGTCGTCCATCATCGTCCTAACGAGTCGTTCCGCTTCTCTTTCCCGCATTCGTTCAGGGTATTGGGAGCTACGAACGCAACAGGCAAGGCCGAGTTGCGGGCGGCTGCTGAAGCGGGACGCCAGCAACGGCTACAGCATGTGATCGGCTCCTCAGTTTCGGTTGCGCTGTATCCCGACAAGTTTCACAGGACTATCGGACGCCACCTCGATGCCTGGTCGTTCCCTCGCCCTCACAACCTAGCGGAACGATGGTCCATACTGGCAGCATGTCTCTGGCAAGTGCGGCCGAGCTGGAGATGGGCTGCTCTGAAAACATGTTCAAGAGTCTGGACCACCAGCTGCAGAATACACGCCTCGCCGCACGCCCGAGATTGCATTGTTGGGTGCGGGGGCCGAAGCGACATCTGACAACACCTCCAGTGTATGCATCTCCAGCAACACGTCGCCCTCAGGTGATCGCGGCTCGCCTTTCTTGTGGATTCCTTGCTCTGGCTTAGCCTTGGCATTCCCGCGGAGTACGGCACTGAGGGTTGCTATAGCTCTCGCCTCCTGGCTGTTGAGGCCATGGCACTTGCTTTTCACATGTATCACAACTCGAAAGACAGCGTGCCTTCACACCACAGATACGCATCCGCCACGCGGGTCACAGGTGTCGCACGCCGTGCGCTCCGGGCGTAAGTGACCCAAGGACTCCCCAACGGCTACGTTGACTCCTCCTTCTCCTCCTCCTCCTCCTCCTCC